AATTTATGTATTTTGATTAAGAATGTATCTCAATCAACTGCTGACATCTATGGGAACTACAGGGAAAAACAATATTAAATGATACATTCTGATCAAATCTCGTGATTAATCATTGAATCTTTTACCATTACTAGACTCAAGGAAAACTGTAGTTTTAAGCATTTTATGATACAATGTTGATCAATGAAATTCCCGATGATTGTTTACTTGCCATTTTTGATTATTTAAACAACCTTGGCGATTTAATAAACTGCTATAAAGGTAAGTACCAATCATGTTTTTTTTGTATCATAAAAATCGTCTAATTCTATAGTAAAGAGTGTGTCACGCAAAATTGACCCTTGTTTAAATTGTAAATGTGTATCAATTACATTATCAAGTTTGAAAAGGCTGTTCAGTTGTTGAGCTACATGGACGCAATTTGTATTCCTTTGACTTCTTATGATACCTTAGTTTTTTATGTTCAGACTAAACCAAAAACCCTTTAAAGTTTATCAGGAGCAGATTTAACTGTACCATAACTGACTTGTGAGTCAAAAGTAGTTTTAAAGTGCAGTGCAGTTCAATTCAATTCAATGTCTTCTTAGAAAAATTAAGATACATTTTCAATTTGACGAGTGACAGTTTTTCGTGAAAGACACCCAATCAGTGATGGTTGCAATTTTAATTCAACCTGATCGACGATTTGCTGAATCGAACAGAGATATTTTCGCATTGAGTTAACCGGCTTGAGGCTTTTAGTATTAAAAATAATTCATTTTAAAAGTTTCATCTGAATAAACCTTTTTTTCATCTTTGATTATTGCAATAACCAACCACCTGGCTGTTTAGGCGCAGTATTTGAATATTTGCAGAGATGTTAAGTCATGTTGTGTTGGTTCTGAGAGTAATTGAATAACGATTAAGCAAATCAACCTTTATTAATTTAGTAAAATTTTATTACAGTGTGCGTTAAATGGAGCTATTTAATTGTTAAGCGAACTAAAAAAGTTAAATATTTAACATGTAAGATTCAAGTTTTATTAATGTTTCGTGCTCATTGTGATATTAATCGCCGAAATTTATATTTCCAGATCAGCGTAGTGATTCATCTGATGTTGTTTATTATCGAGGATTATGTTCGATTGATTCAACCTGCCTGCCTAAATTATTTACAAATTTAATAGTAGGTTGATATTGTAAATCAAACTTATTTTTGAATTTTTAAGTCAATATTAATTTTCTTATCTATCTTATTGACTAAGATCGCTGATTTGTCTTCTAAATTAAACCTCAAAGACGAAGATTACTTGCTTCCAGATGCTATTGAATTTGTTAGAAAACAAGCATCTTTGAAAGGATTAATCAATCCCTTTCGCCAACCAATAGAAAAATACCGGTATTGTGATCAACTTGAAATGCTATCCGTCATAAATTTCAATCCAAACAATTTACGAAATGGTTCCAGCATAAAGCAATTAAATGTTCGGAATTATACTCTAGAGGCTTTGACAAGAGATGCACATTATTTGCCAAACCTTGAAAATCTAAAGATTAAAATTATTGGTAATTATGAAAATATTTTGCCCAGAAATGTTTGCTCATGAAAATTCATCGTTTAGTTCCAGACAATCACTACGATGGTCCAGTATTGGAAAAGCTCAAAATACTTGAGCTCTATTCCATTAAATTACAGCGTAAAAGATTTTTTTATGGTTTCCAGTTGATGGATTCATGTCCAAATTTGCAAAGTGCACACATTACCATGAATAGTCATAGTTGGTTTTTTGACGAAACATTGAAACACAATTCTTTACAAGATTTAGTTATAAAATTTGTAAATATTGTTCAGATTTGAAATTTAGAAATTTATTGAGATACATTTCAGAATAAAATCAACAAGGTTAGGTTGCGTCAACATGGAAAGGATCATCTGTTCAAAATTCTTCCATATAAACTAATTGATTTTATATTTACAGTATGGACACCATAATGATATCTGGAACATTTTAAAAAGATTGCTTATGAAATATCCGAATCTCAAACATCTTGCATTGAGGAACTATTGGAATATAACAGATGAACATATCGAGCAATTGATTCACATTTTACCCAATTTAGTGCTATTGGATGTTATCAGGTGTGACGGAGTCACTCAAGAAGCAGCTGATTATGTTAAAGATTATTGTAAAAGATATGGACGATCAATCAAATTTTACTTCAGCAAGAATTATCATGAAATCGATTCAGATTGGCCTCAGTTATCCACTAAACGCGAAAATATTAGTCGAGGCTTTGATTTCATGAAACATTATTTTCGCAAACACTCCGGTTACCTTCCACATTTTATGATTCCAATTGATTATTGAAAATTTCTTATTAATATATGTAATATTCAAAATCTGAGTGTTTAAAATGTGAAATGAAAATGGTCCAAATTATTCTTTTCATTCTTTATTCTGTCTATTTCTCTGTCTTTTGAGAATCTAACTTTATTTCGCTTATTTTGTGCCAATTTTGCTCAAAAGTTTTTTCTTAAATTTTAAATCATTAAAATGCTACATGTGTCATTGTATTACTTATGTTTTCAGATTTGATACTCGATTTTTTTCAAGATAAATGGTTAATAAAAAACTAATCCTATCATGTACTACAAGTTTTCATGATCATTTCAATCCCTCACTATTGTCAAATCTATCGTTATTTACAAAACCCTGAATGCCCATCAAAGAAAATCTTCAAAAGTGCTTTGTTTTCATGATAAATTGTAATAGAAACTCGTGTTCAAAAAAAAGAGTATTTAGCAATTTAAAGAATTAATTATTCAAAGCTGTTAGTATTGAGTCTATGAGCTCTCTTGACTTCCTCCATTTCGCTTACGCTATTTGTCTTTCTCGGTTTTGAGCTCAAACCAATTTTTTATAATCGAAACTCCGAAATAACATTCGAGCTAATTCATTAAATGCAATTCTGATTTTTGAGTTCTTATGAGTCAAATCAGTTCAAACTCAAAGTTATATTATTGAAAAATTGCTGTTCAAGATTGCAATGATTGTTAAGTTTAGGTCGTCTCTTGTTTTTATTATAAGCAGATGATTATGATAAAAAATCTAATAGTTTAGATGATAAGATGGCAATTAAATTAAGACAATATAAATCATGGTGGTACTTTCAATGCTGAATGATGATCAAATGGTTGAAAACAGCTTTACTGCTAACAAATATCGATCGCTGAAAGAGAGACAGAAAATTGGAAAGAGAGATTCGACAGAGAAGCAAACCTCTCTTTTCTCACATATGTAACCATATGTTGATCTATTGTTGTTTTTTCATTTCTCTCGTTTTTTTGGTAATTTTAATGGTGATTTATAATTTAAATTGTATTTTAAAGTGTAATCATGGAAATGTTTAGTCAAATTATTGAGAAAATAATAACCGAAGCTCAACAATCTTCAGCTCAGTCAATTGTAAATCAAGCTCGTGATATTAAAGGTTAGTACATTTGTTATATCATTTTCAATTTGTAATGAATCTGGAAATAAATTGTATTGAGTTAAATTATTTTCTCTCGCCTACAGAACCGACAACAATAGCAGCTTTTAAAGCATATATTTTGGATGATTACCTGAAATTGTTATCTGCCTGCTTATCATCAAAAAACGCCAAGTTGAGACAATTTGCTATCAATGGCTATGAAACAATTATACGAGACAACTCTTTATGGCGACCTGATGTTTGTGAGAATCACTTTTTCAATCGTATTATTGCTAGCATCGGATCAAAAATTACAAGTTGCAATGAAATAACTCAAATCGAGCTTCTTAAATGCCTTTTGGAAGTCACCTGTTCTCGAATCTCTCATCTTAGATTCACTGATCTTGTAACGGTTTCCGATATTTGTTGTTCCACTATAATCTCATGTGCAAACTCATCTACAGCATCTCCACTATCACCAACAAACTCTTTCACCAGTTCAATAACATCCCAATTGTCAGCATTGAAATCACCCTCAGACCCCTTTGGAGGATCATTTGGTTCACCAGTTAGTCCAAAAATTACTGCAGCAACAGCAACAGCCATTCAATCAAATAGATATTTTGTTGGCTATCTGATCACGGAAAGTTCAATTGAATTGAGAGATGCTATTAATCACCAGATAATTCCTCTTCTTGATTCACTGACAACCAAGATTCTTGATTTGCGAAAACGATGTTACTCTAATGGTAAAGATAAAAGCTCACGGACTCAAGTTACTATTTTTTCCATTCAAATTTCATTCCACCTTAAATGCATTACTGCGATATTGACATCATTGGAAATTGATAAACAAATCGAAAAGGATGTATCCGATTTTGTCTGGTTAGTATAATATCATTTATCTAACAATATTGATTTTGTAAGGATTTTCATTCCAACTGATATCATATATCAGGTGATAGATCCTTTAAATTATCTCATTCGTCTTGTTTTACTTTTCAGGCAAAAATTGGGACCGATGTTGATTAAGCTTCTGAATTTAAATATGAGTCGACTTAAATCTCCTAAAGTGAAAAATGTGAAGAAAAATCGCAAAAATTCCAAAGATTTGGTTTTTGGTCGAGGAGCCGAGTGTCTATCCTTTATCGATAAAAATATAATTCAATTGAAGGAAGTCTATGAGTAAGAAATTCATTACATTTTTCACTAAACTTAAATTTACCAAGAAACACCAAGCTAATGAAATATTTTCCGAATTACAGAGTTTCTCGAGAACTGGTTCAACTTTTTGGTCAAATCAAATACATGAGACCTGTATTAGAATCAATTTTTCATCGAATGCTACTCTACCCATTGATACACTTTCGTTTAGAGGCTCTTCAATCCGTGAAAGAGGTTTGTTATTATCTTATTATCATGAAATGATTCCTCATGATTTTGCTTTATTATTTCTAATATCTTCTCTAGTTGTTTAAAGACGCTCAGTGCACTATTAAATTGTGTACCACCATCAAATCACAAAACCAGTTGTCATGTACCAATCAAGATTTAAACTTGATTAAGATGTAAGTTGAAAAATATTGCTTTTATTGTTTTTCTATTGATTTAATTTATGCTTTATCTTTGCAGAATTATTGATTCACTTCATGAATGTAGTTCAACCAATGACCAAGAAATTGCCTTTCAAAGTGTCTATTGTATTATGGCATTAATCGAAACATTGGACTTTATCGCTTCTGGGAAGAGTTTAGCATTTCAAGAGTATTCTAGTGTTATAGAATCGGAAGAGACCACTGATGATCCTTCTGATCATGATGATATTAATAAATTGAATTTGAATAAAAAAAGCTTTGGAAGCACAGAGGACGAAGATGATGGCGAGGATGATGATGGTGATTGTGATACATCAACGAGCTCAAATTTTACCAATCAGCACAAATTAATGCAAGACGATTTACAAGAAGATTACGATAAGCTAGAAATGACTACATTCAAAAATAAACTGAAGGAAATTATGGGCCATTCTCAAGATGAAGTTCAGAGTGATGGTCAACTCGATGATTATGAAGCAGATGAAGATGAAACAGCTTCCGATGAAATTTTTGTTACCGACGAAGGTGCCTCTTTAAAACAATCTATTAGTTCACTTGGTTCTCAATGTGCCCTTGATGAGCCCAACTGTGATGAAGACGCTAATGATGAAATCTCAATCATTGAGAACAAGAACCTTGACAATGTTTTTGATGGTAACAATGAAGATGATCAGGATTATGAACTTTCTAAATATCGAAGCAAGATTATTTCGGAAGTGAGAGAAGAGAATGAACGCCATCAAACCATCTTAAACTGTCACGATTTACTTAGCAATCAAGAGCGTGAAAATGCCCGTGATATAATTAAAGACTTGACTCAAATTTTACCCGAATTATTGGCAATGAAAAATAGCATTCAAATTGACAATGCACTGCAAAAATTTTCTTCCAATTTCTGTAAAAGTAAGCATCTGCACTTTTATTTCTTTTCATTTGATATTTTCTGATTTTGATTATTAATTTTTTCATTCTTGCAGCTGTTTGGGAAAAACGTAAGACAATCATCGAATCATCAAGTGACCCCTTAATTATAAATGGAGATGGCGTTTACTTAGCTGTTTACTCTGCTCTATCCCTTAACCTGAAATTGATAAAAGAAGACTATTACAATGAATCGAAGCAGATTAATCCACCGATTACTGAACAGGAATTTATTGATGATATTTACAATAGTGGAGTCTTGGTCTATCTATCATCAACTTGGCTAGCCGAACTGTATCAGCAGATATTAGCTAACAATCTTTTAGGTGACTCTGGATACATGTATTCATCGTCTAATAATACTGCTCTAATTAACATGATCAGAGGTAAAAATGATACTTTTACTTGAGAAGACTTGCAATCAGTATAAATAAATACCTAATTGTTTCTAATCTTGTTTATATTTCAGATATTGATGGTGATAGTGATACTCCTGGTAGCTATGAGCTTTCAGATTATCGTAAATTGACGCAAACTAGTTTACAGCTCACAAATCCAGTGAATGATGGTCAAAATGTTGGTCGAATAATTGCAAGACGTGTTCTTGATTCATTTTGGGATTCAATCATTTCAATTATGGAATCAATTTTTACCAGTGATGCCAACTCTTCAAATCAATCTCCTTTTCTTCTGATTTTAAATCATGGTTCTGAGAAAGACAATACTGAGCGAAGGAGCATCATGATCAATTGCCTAGCCACTCTACAAACGGCTTCAAAACTTTGCATAGCTTTAGGCCTTCAATCTCGGTGCAATGGTATTTTCCATTTATTGTCTCGCTCTATTCTAGTCAGTCCATTATCGAAAATTGACAAAGAAAATGACATTTGGATCGAAAATAAAGGCGCAAAATCAAATCAATCAAAAAAGACTCCAATCTCTCTACATGTTTCGCAGGTATTAAGTCTGCGATCAATGTTAACCGCTGGATTACAAATTGCAACTCACTGTGAGCCTTGTTGGGATTATATGTTTCAAAGTTGTACCTTTATAAGCGAATTAGAGAATGAATATTTCTCTTCCAGAACCAAGAAGCCACTTAAAAGCAGACTTAGCTCTCTTCTTCGTTCAAGAAAACAATCAAATGACCCGCTACCTGAATTCAGCCAGATTGAAGTATCTTCAAATTTTCTTGGATTGGAAACTGAGTCAGATGTTAACAAATGCTTGGAACAATGTATTAATGCTGTTATAAACGAAAAGAATGGAAGAAAGGGCGATGGAATTTTGGTAGATTCTTTGTTGGAACGATCACTTGAATGCTTGTCTCACCTCTCGGATCGTCTTTTTACTGAAGCAACTTCTCGGCTGAACCTCAAATCTCTTCTTGCTTTCCTTGAAGCTCTCATTTCAAACTCTAGTCGTCAGATTAATGCACTTTCTAAAAAAGCCAAAAACAAATCTCCATGTACTTTATTGTTCGCTCGTTTCTGTGATGTCCTTTTACGAATTGGTAAATCCG